AAGGTTTTGATGGCTAATAGGCATAGGTTGTATATGATTATGTTGTAGCAAAGTCATTTCCGTGTAAATACCGTCGTTTTCATCGAGACATCAATTTCGCGAAATATGATATATGAGAAAACTCTTGCGTACCGACGAGTTGAGTTCGGTTGACACATAAATTAACTGTCGAAATACAGACCCGAGTTCGATCCAACTGATACAATTTTATTTTCTTGCATAATATATCCAATCAATCGAGACATGGTGGATGCATGATTATGTTAAATTCATTTATGTGAAGGTCGTCTTCCCCCTCGAGAAAAATAAATAAATAAAAAAATTAAAATTAAAATAAAAATAAAATAAAAATAAAATAAAAATAAAATAAAAATAAAATAAAAATAAAATAAAAATAACATAAAAATAAAAATAAATAAAAATAAAGTATGAGAAATACACTGCGTGAGGAATCTCTGAACCTTAATTAGTAAAGGGTTTTTGCTTCGAGTGTTGTTCCACATCGACCAAAAGAGGAAGATCATTTTTTTGAATACTCGTCACCAAGCATAATCAAGAAGGTTGGTTTTGTGCTACTATACTTCATAAATAGGAAGACTGAGAGCTCGAGAAAAAAAAGAAAAGGACATAGTGTTGAGCACCCCTGCGTCCTTCTCTGCCTCTTCCCCCCACCCCCTTCATCCCTATTTTACCTTCATGTTTCCCTCTCCCTTTCTCTCTATCTCTTTCTTTCTCTCCTTCTTTCTCTCCTTCTTTCTCTCTCTTTCTCTCTCTTTCTCTTTCTCTCTCTTTCTCTTTCTCTCTCTCACTCTCTTTTTCTCTCTCCCTCGCACGCGCACAAGCAGTGCATTTTTTTTTATCTTTAATCTTTTTTTTCCTCTACTCTTTTTTTTGTCCTGGAATGGGGGACTATCATGTTCTCTTATATCGTTCTGCTTCTCTCTCTCTCTCTCTCTCTCTCTCTCTCTCTCTCTCTCTCTCTCTCTCTCTCTCTCTCTCTCTCTCTCTCTTTTATTTTTTCAAACGGGTGACGGTTTTGAGATGTCATTATCGAACTGACCGACCCTAAGTTTAAATCAGCATTGCATTATTTTACTAATCTGCTTGCTGCGGAGTTCGAACTCATGTTTGTATTTCAACAGTTCAAAGGTGTACCAATTGAGTTGGTAGGCTAGTCGATTATATTGTTCTTTTTTTTTTTTTTTTTTTTTTTTTTTTTATAAAAGGGCGACAGGCTTGAGATATCATCATCAAATTGACAGACCATAGGTAGGTAATTCAGAGTTGTAGTATTTTTACTCATCTGCTTGCTGCGGAGTTCGAACTTAAGTCTGTATTTCAATTTCAACAATTCAATTCAGGGGTGTACCAACTAAGCTAGGCTGGTCGGTTGTGTTGCTCTGCTTCATCTGTTTTTGCCCCCTGACAATTCATCTCCCCTCTGCCCACTCTGTGTTGACTTTTTCCTCTTCGTCGTCCTTTCAGTCTTGTTCGTCATTTTTCTATACTAGTAGTTCCGCTTTTTTCTTTTTCTTTTTAAAATTGTAGTTTCACATTCGAATGGATTTTTCCTCCTCTCGAACATTATTCTACCACTTCAGTTAACGTTTTGCCTCACCTTTGTTCTGGTCCTGACGATTCATCTTCTCTCTCCTCTCCCCTATTTTCTTGTCTTCTTAGTCTTTTTGCTATTTTTTTTCCTCCTCTTTTTCTACATGCAGATTACCCAATTAATTGGGGACAGTAGGCAAAATGACATTTCGTTACAACACAACCTTTAGGTAATACCGGTGAAGTCCACCAATAAAGGTGAGTCACGGAGGATCCGTAGTACCCGCAACGTAGGAATAAGCCAGTTTCCAAACCCACCTATAAGAGTAGGCATTACCATAAAGAGTAGGATATGATAAGAATGAAAGATAAAATAAGAAGTAAGCACTGTATGAATAATGCGAGGTCACTTTGATGACGCTAGATATCACAAAATTTGAAATGCTTTGTTTTTTTCTCTCCTCCGAACCGTACGTGCAACTTTCATTGCATACGGCTTTCCAAGTAAATCTTACAAGGCCGTATTCTCCAATCAAGATCTAGAACCTTATGTGAAACAACTTCATGTGGTTAGTATAGTCGCCTTGAAACAAGTTGAAGGTAGAGTCTGCGCTATGTAGAGATACATAAAATGCTGCTAGTGTATGTATACTGAGCAACAATAGGCTGAAGTCATTCTTACCACTAGTACCTCTGCCTGTGTTGGAAAATTACAATGTAATGGTCTGTCCCCGAAGAAATCGGTGGTGGGACCCAGAGTCGACAAGTCTCATAAATCTTAGTTTTATTTTTTCCGTGCGTGAAAGGAAAAGGAAAAAAAAAATGAAACTTCTGTATTGCAATGATGTTGGGCATGGTAGTCTAGGAGGTTGTGCTCATAGTCTTCCTCTACATAATGCATCCTACAGTAAAGACGGTCACATTCTGAAACTTGTGGTTTTCTTTTTATTTATCGTTTGTTTGTTACGAGTCCCCTGGCAAGGAGGCAGGTCGGAATCCGTGATGTGCACTGACTGTGTTTCCTCAGAGGATTGTAACCCTGATGTATCCAACCGTTTTCACGGTTGAATTCGTGTTTTCGATTTTTTTTTTTTTTTTTTTTCTGGAATCTGACAATCTGAATCCGTGATCTGCTTGAGCTGTGTCCCCTCGGAGTATTGTAACCCTCATCACACTCGCACTTAGAGGAACGTATCCAGCCATATTCACAGCCGAATCCATGTTTCTGTTTTTTTTTTTTTTTTTTTTTTGTGTTTTTGGAATCTGACAACCTGACCATGTGGCTGGGATGCCCTCACTGAGGGCACACTCCCAGTACCACTTCCAAGAATGTATACACGGCCAGAGCATTGTTTCCTTTTCTTTTTTTGTAAGTTTCACTGACCCCAACTTTTTTTTTCTTTTTTTCGTTTTTTTCCCCTCCCTGTGAGAGTACCATAAAGAAATGGAGTGGGACCCAGGCTCGGCAAACTCGACGCGCAGTGAAATTCAGGGTTGGCAAAAACAGGCCCGGCGGTACTACCGGCAGTGGTTTAACACCACTGGAAAATTTGACCATTAGCCTGTTATCCCCGGTGTAGCTTTGATCTGTTGAGCGAGAGCCCTTTTTGATCCGTTGAGCGAGAGCCCTTCCACACGGGGCCCCCATATTTTTTCCCTTTTTTTTTTCCTCCCTGTGAGATTCCCTTTTTTTTTTCCCTCCCTGTGAGAGTACCGTAAAGAAATGGAGTGGCACCCAGGCTCGGCAAACTCGGCGCGCAGTGAAATTCAGGGTCGGCAAAAACAGGCTCGGAGGTACTACCGGCAGTGGTTTAACACCACGGGAAAATTCGACCATTAGCCTGTTATCCCCGCCGTACCTTTGATCCGTTGAGCGAGAGCCTTTTTTGATCCGTTGAGCGAGAGCCCTTCCACGCGGGGCCCCCGGATCACTATGGCCGACTTTCGTCTCTGTTCGACTTGTAGGTCTCAGAGTCAGGCAGGCTTTGACCATTACGCTCTACAGCTGCGCAGAACGCTAGCTTGAGCCTGCCTTCGCGCGCTTCCGAGTGTCCGTTCCAAATGCCTACCTCCCCCCTCCCCCCCTTCCCCCCTCCCCTCCCCCTTTAAACCCTTCTCCCGACTCCCCCCACCCTCCCCTCCCTTTGAGAACAGCGTTTCGATACTGAATTTCAATCAATTGCTGCGTTTGGCTAGCTGTTCTGCCTATCTTCTCTTTTCCCTCGTTCGCCTTCCCTCCGTCCCTACTCCTTCCCTACTCCTCCCCGTCCTCTCCCTCCCTGTAGTCGCATCCTGAGGTGATGTTGTCGTCTGCTTGTCTCGCCATCGTCGTACCTCTCCTCCTTCTCCTCTGCCCCTCTCCTCCTTTTCTTCTCTTCCTCCTGCCTTCCATTTTGTTTCCCTACTGTTCTTTCCCGTCCTCTCGTTCTCTCGTTCCCTGCGCTCGCATCTTGAGGTGATGTTCTCGGCTGATTCTCACGCCCTGGTCTTAATTTTCTTCCTCCTCGTCTCTGCCTCTCCTCCTCTCCTACTTTTTCCTTCTCCCTCTCCCTCTCTTCCTTCTCCCTCTCCCTCTCATTCGTTTTCCTTTGTGTGTAATGGATGTTACAAACAAGTACGTTTTTGGCTTCTGAGAAAGAGGTTGGTTGATATTTTTGCCTACGGTAGTCCGTGTCTACTCGTGCTCGATCCGATCACAGCTTGTGATTGGCTGGGTAAATCATAGCTTTCAATTGGTTTGCATTACTGTCATCCATCTCGTTTGCGGCTTTTGGTCGATTGACACGTGTTGGTCTGTTATTTACTACTGTAATAATCGATGGCTTTGCAGTCGTCAGGGATCCCAAGCTGAATATGTGCTGTCTGTGCGCTATGCTACCCCCTTCCCTCAAACACGTCGCACTCTGATCCTGAATGTATACAAGCTATCTTTCGGGTCAAATACAGTATGATGAGATGAGAGAGAGAGAGAGAGAGAGAGAGAGAGAGAGAGAGAGAGAGGCGAAGGGGTTAGGGAGGGGGGTTGCAGTGTTGGGGGGAATCGTATTCCGGTTGTGTGTGTGAGAGAGAGAGAGAGAGAGAGAGAGAGAGAGAGAGAGAGNGAGAGAGAGAGAGAGAGAGAGAGAGAGAGAGAGAGAGAGAGAGGCAAAGGGGTTAGGGAGGGGGGTTGCAGTGTTGGGGGGAATCGTATTGCGCTTGGGATCGACGGTGACTGCGTAGCTATGACCACAGGGCTTTTTCTTTTTCTTTTTCATTTTCTTTCTTTTCCTTTTTTTTATTTTCTTTCTTTTTCTGGCCACAGTGCAAGGCATTTAATTCTGGTTTGGTAAAACAAAAATGATCAAGAATGGAATTTGCTGCGTGGCTATGTCCACAGGGCTTTCTTTTTCTTTTTTGTTTTCTTTCTTTTTCTTTTTTCTTTTCTTTCTTTTTCTATTTTGTTTCCTTTCTTTTTTCTGGACACAGTACAAGGCATTTAATTCTGGTTTGGTATTGCTGTGGGCAGGCCCTTATCGTGTCTGCCGCTAGCTATCTTTGATTCGATACATTGCTGTTTGTCTTGGATTACGTGGTTGATGGGTATTGGTTGAATTTGTGAAGTGGTGCTGATGACTCGAATAATTTTTTTGCTTGGCGAGTGCTCTTGATATTTTCTGATTGGTGTTTTGATCAGTAGATGGGAATTGTGGTGTATGGGTTGATGGTTTTGAGGATTAATGATAGATTGGTGCGCCAGTCGACGGGATCGGTAGCGTATGGTTGATTAGTGTTGATTGGTTGTAATCGGTTATCGATGAATGTTTGATTGGTTGCCATTTGTAGATAGGCCGTGATTGGTTGTATGCTATTTCCAGTGTGATTTTCTGTAATTGATGGTTGATTGGTGCTGATTGATTGATTGGTTGGTTGGTTGGTTGGTTCGGTGGTATTGATTGATTGGTTGATCGTGAACTGGTCATCTCTACTGTGGATTGATCGATTGATTGATTGATTGGTTGATTGATTGATTGGTTGGTTCAGTGGTATTGATTGGTTGATGATGAACTGGTCATCTGTGTGGATTGATCGATTGATTGATTGGTTGGTTGGTACTGCTGATTGGTCATCTGTCGGCGCTCAGTTGTGATTAGATCATCGATGTTGATTGGTCGGGTGGTATTCGTTGGCTGATTGGTCTGATCAGTTGGGTGGTATTCGTTGGTTGATTGGGGTTGATTATTGATTGTGCTGATTAATTATAGTACTTTGTGGATGGGTGGGTGTTTCTTAAGGGATGCTGGACCTCGTTCCCAGCACGTGTTACTCTCCACCTATAGATGGGAGCATTCTCCCCCGGAAAAAAAAAACAACAAGAAACATAGAAATTGTCGATGGGTGCTGATTTGGTGGCTGGTGCATTATTATTGCTTTTTGGCTGATTGGGGTCTTGACTGGTTGAGGGTGGTACGAATTGGGGGTTGATTAATGTCTTGGTCGTTGATTGGTTGTTCCAATCGGGGAAAAAAAAGACAATGTTAATGGGTCACGAATTGGGGGTGGTACTTCTTGGGGGGGTTGATTGATGTGTTGGTCGTTGATTGGTTGTTCCAATCGGGAAAAAAAAAAGACAATGTTACTGGGTCACACACATCATGAATGCTTGCTCATTTTTGTTGGCTGGTGCTGATCATTGCTTTTCGCTAATTGGTTGATTGAGGTGTTGATTTGATTGGGTGGTACTGATTGGTTGATTAATGTTGGTCGTTGATTGGTTGTTCCGCTTTAGAAATATTAAAATAAAAAATTGATGACGGGTCACACACATCATGAGTGCTTGCTCATTTTTGTTGGCTGGTGCTGATCATTGATTTTTTGCTAATTGGTTGATTGGGCTGTTGATTGGTTGGGTGGTACTGATTGGTTGATTAATGTTGGTCGTTGATTGGCCGTCCGTCGGTGTTCAGGAGCGGCGGCTGTCCTGGTGGGTCTAGAGGGTTTGCCAAAGAGAAGATTTGCTGTGAGGATTCGAGGCCACAAAACGCGAACATGGGCAGGACCGGGAGGGAGCAAGGGACCCCGTCTTCTCTATTTTATCGGGATCTGGCCATTGTCCCGACACCGAGGACTACACGTGGCGATGGGATAGGTGGAGGTTCAGGTGGGAGTGTTTCTCATCGAGAGCAGTCGATGCCGCCTCCGCCGTGCGACACCCTGGAAGATCGGCTTGGCAGAACGCCAGAAACACCTACCTCTCTCACCCATTCTCTGGGTGGCTTGTCAACCCCGGGAGAGATTGGAGGGATGGGGGGGGGAGGTGATGTACCCTCAACCTCCCCTAGAGGAGGGAGGACGTTGTCTTTCAGTGGTGCATCGAAAAGTTATCGACGTGCGACCGACTCATGGGTCGGCTCTCCGCCCCCTCTGCTTCACACAC